ATGTACCACTACTGCCCAGCAATTTTATTCACCTGTTTATTGTATTTTTGAGACAGGGTTTCTCTGTGTATCCCTGGCTATCCTAGAATTCATTCTGTAGACCAGGCTGGTCTCTGCCTCCCAAGTGGTAGGAAGGGTGTTTTGTTTGTTTGTTTGTTTGTTTAAGATAGAGCCTCATGTAGCCCAGGGTGGCCTCAAAACTCTCCAGATGTAGCCACCGACCTCCAAACTGATTCTCTTTTTTTCCGCCTCACAACTGCTGCAATTGCATGCACATCATCGCCCGCCAGGTTTATGTGGTGCTGACAATCCAATCAGGACATTCGCACACTAGACAAGCATGCTGCCGATTTAGCTACATTCCCAGCCCCCAGGCGAATTCTTTTTTCTCTCCCCCACCCCTAGGGTCTTGCTTGACCTGAACCTCTCTATGGAGCTAAGGCTGACCTCAGACTCACCATCCTCCTGTCTCAAGCACATGCCATCATGCCTGTCTAAGTGAATTCCTTTTCTTAATCCTTGAACTGAGCCCCTGAGCTTGACAATATCTCTCTGAGGTTGGAGTAGGACATGGGCCTCCAGGGAGAGACTCATTGTGCTCAGGCCATCAGCACGCTGGGGGCCATCTGTCGGCTGTGTGGTGCCTCCTGCTAATACTCAGGGATCCTGGTGAGTGCTAACCACGGGACTAGGAAACCCTCCACTGTCCAACCTTCACCTGACTGCTGCCTCAGCTCAGGGCTGCCCTCCCATCCCCGCCGACCCTCAAGGAAGCCTTGACCTCCTGACACCTTGCCCCAGACTTCACCAAAACCCTCCTGGGTCAGGGCTCACCTGGAATTAAAGGCACTGCTCTCCATGGTGGTAGGGGAGTGGTGGCTTCCTGCTGCAGGACAGGGCGGGTTCTGTGCGGGGACCTCTGGGGTTCCTTCTTGATCCTGGTGGTGGGGCTATGGAAAGCTACTGTGGGGTAGGATAGAGCAAAGCCAGAGTGTCACCTCGAGGCCGCCAGGGCCTGTGACACCCCAGCTTTCTGAGGACAGGCTAGGTTACTGGTGCAGTACCCTCCCTTCGGGCTCTCGTTCTCCTGAACACCGAAGTTGGACGCTTTCGGAACGTTCTGGTTACTCCTGTTATGACTAGTTTTACACATTAGGCTAACGTCTGGTATTAACCAAGGGAACCATCTAAGAGTTAACACGCACAACCCCCAGCCAAGAAAACCACCTTCATAAAAGCGAGCATATTAGACCCAGGGCCTTTGGCTTTCTGAGTGCCCTGGGAAAATTCCAAGTGAGAAACATGTTTTCTTATTTGGGGCTATAAAGATGCTTTGGTTTTCTGAGGGAGACTGGCGATTAGCACACTTGCATGTCAGCTGAGTAACACACACATGCTCCTAATTATCTGTGAGGAGCATTAGCCTTTTCTGGGCGGCTTGCTGGGTTCTCAAAGTCCAGCTACCACTGTGGCTGAGCCCTGGTGTGAGTGATGTCCTGGCCTCCTGCAGTCCCATCAGATGCCCTGGAATCCACAGTTCTGATGTCTGGCAGTTTTCCATTCTTGTGCCTGTTTTATTTCAATGGATGATGACAAGCCGAGAGCAAGGACCTAATATGCAAATACCTTTTCTCATATTTTCTTTTTCTTTTTTGTTTTTTCAAGACAGGGTTTCTCTGTGTAGCCCTGGCTGTCCTCAAGTTCACAGAGATCTGCTTGCCTCTGCCTCCCAGGTACTAGGATTAAAAGTCCCACACCAGGCATTCTTTTTCACTTGAGGCAAGGCCTCACTGCGTATCCAGATTGGTCTCAAGCTCACTATCCTCCAGATTACAGGTGTGGGCCACCATACCTGGCCAGGCATTGTTTCTCAACAGGACACTTGTGACTTGGGGTCAGATTTGGGAGGATGTCTTGAACAGTGTAGGACATCTCTGCAGTACCACTGACCACCCCATTTTTACCCAACCCCAAACTCTCCAAAGACATTGACAATCTTTCCTGGGGCAACATCACCAGTGCTAAAGAGGATAACAGAACAATGGATCTGGGTCCTGCTGAGCTGTCTCAAGTCCCTGGCTTTGGCTGGAGAGAGAAAGCATCTATCTGTTCCAAGTCACAGGGCTACAGCTCCAGGGGGGAACCAAGGTCTTCATTTCCAGTCACTGCGTTTGTCTTGGAGTCCATATTCCAGGATGAGGAGCCCTGACTTTCACCCTGTCTTTAGGTGAGCGCAAACTACTCTCCTCTGGGTGACTCTCTGCCCCCATGACTCACTTCCTGTCTTTCTCTGATCCCCACCCCCCATCCCTGTACCCAGCATTCACTACTCACAGTTTTCTGAATGGAAATCAGGAACGAACTGTTCATCACTGTCTGGTACCTGAGCTGCAGAGAGAGGCTAGAGTGAGTCTGGGGTGTGACTGTGCAAAGTGGCAGCCCCAGGAAGGCACCATTGTTGCCACCCTGAAGATTAGCTCCAGCCTTGAAGCAACCAAGAGCTCTCCTTAGACCAAGGGTCACTCCACCCTAGGTCCTGCCCCCTCCAGCCCCTGCTGCATGAAGGCTCCAGGGAGGACTCTCAGAACTTGTCTGAGAAGACTCCAGTCTTTGCCTAGATGTTTTGTCCCTGGTCCCTCCATTTTTCTGAAGTGCGAATGGACCTGCCCTTCAAAGTTTACAAGGCTTTGTCAGGGCTCACAGCAGAGTGCTATCATCGGAGTGAGCAGGAATTATAAACTGTGGGATTCTGTGGACCTGGAATCTGATGAGGAAATCCTGAATTTGAGAAGGGCCCAGAAGTCTTCACTTCAAATAATTTCCCAGGTGCTTTGGAGACACAGGAGAGCTCTGGAGCCTAGGAAAGGGGGTTGGGGGGGGGGGGGAACAGCTGCAGAGATGTGAAAAGAAGGTAAAAATAGGACAGGAGGAAGCTGGAGACACCATCTCATCATTGATGTGTAGCCAAGGGAAAGGCCGGCTTTCCAAACCTGGAGGTCTAGGGAGCATTCTCCAGGGGCCAGCCTCTCTGTACCACAGGGTACCTCAGTGGACTCCATCTTTTGTTTACTTTTGCCTCTCTATCAAGGGGGGGAAAGAATTACAGCAGAAAGAAGAACAGACACAAGAAGGACTTCCTGACTGTTTAGGATAATAGTGGGTCTGAAGCAGGACAATGGAACTCGTGACCCAGGAGACTGGACTGTCACTCCCTGGAGACTGCTCGCAGACTGGACAATGTCGAAATTGCAAGATAAAAGACTCAGACTTCAGAGTGACTGGTGAGGCGTGTAAGATGAGGGGTAGGGAACACTCTACACCCAATCCCATGTGAACACACAGGCTCAGATCTTGGCCACAGGACCCTGTGTTTCCCCATTCACCAACTCCAGGTTCTGCAGCCCGCCCAGCTGGCAGGGTGATCTTTGTACAACAGAAACCAAATCGCTTTGAGCTCTCTCTTAAAATGTGAGATCTGAACTCCTGCCCTTGGCCTCCTCTCATCCCTCTGGCCTGCCTCTCCTTGCTGCTGAGAGGCCCTAGCACCTTGGTCTCCTTCAGCCCTCAGTCCTGCTGAGCTGGGTCTTTCCCCCCAGATCCTCTGCTCTGTGCAGGATCTCACTATGTAGCCCAGGCTGACCTGAAACTCAGCATCTTCCTGACTCTGCCTGGAATGCTGGGGTTGCAGATGGGCCCCCTGCCAGGCTTATTAGAGGCCTTCTCTGACCACTCAAAGCAAAACTGTCCCTTTTGGCTTTCTGTCTCAGCTGGCTTTCTCCCTGCCCCCCATCTTATTAACGTATATTCACATGTTAGTGTTCATCTCTTCACCAGGAAGTTAAGCTGTGTGGACAAGGGCCTTTCCTTCTTCAGATGACTACCTAGCACTCAGACCAGATACTGAATAATCATTATTTATGAATAAGCATCCAATGAGACTCATCCTCAGGCTGGGAGGAGCTAGCACCACAGACTCCAAAGGCAGGGTGATCCTAAGCCAAGCAATCCTCCCCTTACCCTGCAGCTACTCCTCTCCACATACCAGCTACCACCAGTGTTGGCACACCACCGGAAAAGCTCATCTTACAAGGATGCTCAAGCTGTGATCAAATGCTTGCTTCAAATGTCAGAGGGACTAAGTGATTACAGATATAGGTTTATAGTTGATTTTTACTTATTTACTTATTGCAATGGTAGGGATTGAATCAAGGTCCTTATGAACCCCCAGCCTTTGTTTTTTTTCTTTTCTTTTTTTCCTCTGTGTAGCTTTGCGCCTTTCCTGGGACTCACTTGGTAGCCCAGGCTGGCCTTGAACTCACAGAGATCCGCCTGGCTCTGCCTCCCGAGTGCTGGGATTAAAGGCGTGCGCCACCACCGCCCAGCCTTTGTTTTCTTTTTGAGACAAGATCTTACTAGATACTCCAGGCTGGCCCTAAATTCTAAATTCACCATCCTCCTGCCTCAGCTTCCTAAGGGTTGTAATTACAGGCCTATGCAAGACCATGTCTGGCTTAGATGATTAGTTTTTAGATAGAGAGACTGGCGTGAGGGAGTTCAAGAACCAGAAGTCTCCAGTAGTTAAGAACTTAGATCAGTGCACTACAATTCTAAAGTGGCCAAATACATCAATGGGATGCTAAATCCCTCAGCAAAAGTATACATAAATCCCCAGCTTTTTGGAAGCCCAACTACACCCCACAGAGGCTGTCCCCTGGTCAGCCTGACTGAAGAATCACCCGGGGTTGTTATCCCCACCGGTTCCCAGGTTCCTGGTCCTCAAATCTAGGAAGTCATTCTATAAGACAGAGGTGGGCCAGGCATCCAGATTTGCAATAAATGGCCCTGGTGGCTGGCTCATTTGGAAAGCATAGTCAAAGGGAAGGACGCATTTCTTCCTGCCCAGTCTTCTGGCTCATTCAAAGGTGACAGACACCCTGAGGTGGCAGAAACTAACAGGCTGAGTGATACTTCCCTCCCTGCTACTTAGGCAAGGAGGGTCCCGAGGGCAAGGAAGGGGTGCAGAACTTGGCAGGGGGTAACTGACGTACTCTGGAGCCCCTCCTGGGGCCTCATTAACTACCCGTTTCCAGTGAGGTAATGGGCTGGGGGCATCTGCTGACGCCACTGGGCTAGAGAGCCCTGTGGGTCATCTGACCTTTCCTCCTGCCTCAAGCTTGAAAGCTTATCCAGAACCCCCAGAAGAGAGCTCTCTTCAGCACACGGACTGAACCCCCAAAGATGACGCTATCTTCTTCCCAGAATGGGGAGTGAGCCCTACTCCCTGCTCAGCTCTCCCAATACCGGCCCTCTCCCACAGAGGTACCGTGGGGCCCTCAGTCACCCAGAGACTATCAACGAGGGTAGAAACAGGAACAGAAACAGAGCCTTGCGTTCCTGGAGAGCAGAAGAAATTTTAATTACCATGTTTGGTATTGAACATGCACCATTTGTTTGTTGACTCGGCTCTGTTTTGGCTGCTAAGCCAGTGTGCCAGAGTCTGTCCCCAGCGCACTGGCACTAAAAAGAGACTATCTAGCTGGGGACATGGCAGATGATTAAGGGAGGTGTGTGTGTACTCGTGCGTGCATGCGTGTGTGTGTGTGTGTGTGTGTGTGTGTGTGTGTATGTGTGTGTGTGTGCATGTACCCAGTGTAACTCACGAGCACACACACACACACACACACACACACACACACACACACACACACGCAGAATATTCAAGGACTGTCCCTTCAACAGGAAGCCGGGGGACCCCAAAGATGGGCTCCAGAAGAAATGGGGAATTCAACCAGCTAAGCAGCAGAGGCTATCCCGAGCCAGCTACCATGTATCCCACAAAGGGACGTCATCCTCTGGGCGTGGGGGCAGTCTCAGTCCCACATAAGAGTGAATGGTAGCATTCTCCAGAGCTTTGCTGTATTGTGTCACCGTTGGCCGGGGGCTCTCACCCGCACCCTGCCCCCACCCTGGCAGCCTCTACTTTGGAAGGAACCAGTTCTCTATCTGTGGAGGGGACATTCCTCTCCAGGAACCTTATGGAAGGCGAGGAAAAAGAAAGATGGAGGAAGCACTGAACTAGGAAAGACTAGGGAGAGAACGAAGGACTAACCTCTTCCCTCCCCAACAGACTGACACCCCCCCCCCCCAGACACCAGGGTGCATGCACACACTTTCACCCGAATTCCTTGTACTTCACTCTGAGAAAATATATGGGTGAAAGCACCCTCCATGCTTTCTCTCCACACCAGGGGTCTCGTTTGGTCTCTGTAGATAAGGAGGTCAAGGGGCCCAGGAGAGGGTCACCCTTGAAGGCGTGTTTGGCTGCGGTAATTGTGAGAGGATGAGCCAGATCCATCCCTTAAAATTCTGATAGAAGCAATAAACCATTCTCATGCCAGGAAAATCCGTATTATCACCATATATGATGCAACACCAACAATTTTACATGCAGAATAGCAACATCAGGGACCCCAGATCTATCCATAAGTCTTCTAGAAATTCACAGCCCCCCTCCCCAACTTCATACAAAGGGCATACAGAGCTCAGGTAGTGTTCCCAACTACCAAAGAGACCAGAGTCATTGTCCCTAATGGTTCTTGAAGGCTCCTGACAGTTCCACAAAGAGACCCTCCACCAGATCCACACATCTTTTACATAACCACCAAATCTTGGCGCAGTCTGTCTGAGCCTGGGTTTCTCAGTGGCAGCCTGATCCTTTCCCCAACATCTCAACAGATCACAGGCACCCAGAAACCAGGTGACCCTCCTCGGCTCAGTTCATCCTTCTACGCAGAAAAATCCCGACCCCGAAGATGTGTATGCATACTGCCTCAGAAGAGCCTTACCAACAGTCACCCCAAAAGCCCAGCCAGCAGCTGATATTCCAGAAGCCACGTCCAATTCTCTCTATGCCCGCTTAGGTCCAGCCTGGTCACCACCACCTCCAAATCTTCACTGCCCCACCCACACTATAAGAATTCACTGTTTCTCTCCAAACTGAGGCTTGAGGAAGAAACCAAGCTGAGAGAGGGGAGGCTGGGCTCTGGGCCCCATTCCTCGTGATGTCCCCCACTACTGGCAAGTTTCCAAAGGAGCTCATCCCTCCCTGTCACCCCTTTGGACTGTGAGGGGGCCACTGACCTGGTGTGAAGAGGCAGGAAAGGAGATTGGGGTGATGTTGGGATGGTGCAGGGGGACAGGACCCCGGCAGCTGCATCTGTCTCCGCAGAGAGAGTGAGGAGCAAGTGGCCTCAGCATCCCCCCCTCAGGCCTGGCCATCCATCGCCAGCTGGGAACCTGAGCTGCTCCCTCAGGAGGAAGGAGAAGGAACCAAGGAGATCCCAGCCCCCCCTTGCATTCCCCACCCCCACCTCCCCACCCACTGGATTTAAATGTACAGGGACTCCCAAGGCAGCAGTATGTAACACACACATGCACGCGTGCGCACATGCAAGCTTGCACACGCACTTGCTGTCATACTAACACACACAGACAGACACATGGACTGTCACCAGACCCACCACCAAGGGGAGGGGCTCCCATGGTTGGATGAAGAGAGCATTTTCCATCCCTTGTCACCCAAATAGATCAAGTACTGACAAAATGCCACCCTGAGCTAATTCACAGCCTGGGAGCTGACCACCATGGGGACCCTCAGCTGATGGGAAGGAACGGGAACACAGAGAACCAGACCAAAATCAGAAATCAGGTGGTAAAAAAGGAGGTCTTTAAGAGATCATGGGAACTCTGAGTTCTTCAGCTCAAGAACATGGAGAGGAAGCTGAGGAAGATACTCAATACCAGAACCCACCCACTCCCCATTCCATATTTTTTTGGAAGATGAACTCCATACTAAACAATCAACCTTCAATAATAATAATAAAAATAATGTGGGGTGTGTGTGTGTGTGTGTGTGTGTGTGTGTGTGAGAGAGAGAGAGAGAGAGAGAGAGAGAGAGAGAGAGAGAGAGAGGTGGCCAAGACAGACCTCATCTCATCCCACAGATCTGCTTAGTGATCTTTCTTCTCATCCAAGCCACTCCTATAGAGAATCCTGAGAGAGGTGGATTTGGGGCTTTTAAATTCCAAAAGAAAGGTACCCAGAGTGGAGGAATGGGGAAGCCCACAGGAAGAGAAAAGACCTCAAGAAAGAGTTCACTTTCGGTTTCTTAGTTTTTAGAGTATGAATACAAAGGGGGTGTTAGCTAAGATGGGGGTGTTAACCCTTCCTGAATCTCAGGGACTGTAAGTCACCATGCCTCCTTCTTCTGGCAGCCCTGCCAGCACACCCTCAGGCTAAATAACCTCACCAAAACACACCAACTAGGATCCAACTAGGACACACTACCCCACCCAGCCCAGGCTGGGCCACTGACCCCATCCTGGCCAGCTCACAACCGACCCACCAGCATACAGGAAGGGGGGGTATTTGCCTGGGGGTGGAGGTATTCAGGAGGGATGGAGGGAGGACCAGTTGCCACTGGAATTATAATCAAGGCTATTTGGGGAGGCAGCCCTGAGTCTTCTCTGCCAAAGTGCCAAGAAAAGAATTATTGAAACTTTGGTCGTTTCTTTGGCTTGGGCAGTAAATTGGCCCTTGGAGTTAGGCAGAAGTGAAGGGAAGGGAGTAAAAACCAACGTTCGAGCAGCTCCAGAAGATAGGTAACAAATTCCTCCTATTTCTCCTGGTCCTCACTGCTCTCTTTAAACATCTCAACACCCCAACACTACACCTAGGCCTGGAGCCTCCTGCCAAACAAACTTTGCAAATGAAATTTTCAACTAGGAAAAAAAACGGGCCTGGGGCCAAGTTCCATTCAAATAAGCAAATACCCCACACAATAGTCTGATTCATCCCTAGGCCTAGTTATACAAGCCTGGCTCGGGGTGAGAAAATAAATATCGATATAAGTGTCCACACTGGGCACTGGAGAGAGTGAAGTGGTTAGGGACTGGGGGAGGGGAGCTGATGGGCTCCTTGAGACAGAGAAGACCCCCCAAGCCCCACTTCTAAATTCTAGGAAGACAACAAAACTACTCACCTTCAGCGAGCCACGTCTCTTGGAAGTGACTGAGATCCTGGAAGAGATCTGATGGGTGAATATTGGAATTGGTGATGAGGTGGAGAGGATATGGGGAGAGATCTGACTAGCCCGGGTTACAGCCTCCCCACTGGGCATAAGGGACGGAAAAGAATGATCAGAGTCCTCTAGGTGGTTTGACTTTTGGGGAAACGTGGGTTGGAGAGGTCCAGGATAGAGCTTTGGGATGTGTGTGGGTTGAGAAGAGGGGTCGTAGTTAAGTCTGGTTCTTTACCTTCGGAGTCGGAAGGCGGCAGGGAGCCCGGGTCCATGAGCTTCCCCTGCGGGACCATCAGCGCTTCGCCCAAGCTCCCATTTCCGGGAGATTTCTGCTGGAAGGAGGGGGGAGAATGCCCCCGAATCACCCTAAGGAGTCTAGCTTAGGGATGGGGGTGGGTTCCCCGGGTGGCTCAAGGGCTAGGCCGCCCTGGACCCCACTGAGACCCCCCGGGAGGTGGCTGTGGGGCGAGTAGGGGCGGGGTGCGGGGCGGGGGCGGGCGTGGAGGCCGGCGAGGCGCTCACGCTGCAGAAGGTGTAGGGCACTCGCTGGTCCAAGTATCCGCCTTTCATCCTCCGCTCCATCCGGCCGCTCCCTCCGGCCACACGGCCGGGCCCCCGCGCGGAGGCAGAGACCTGGGAGGGGGGAGGCAGTTCGTACACGGTCCCGGGAGCGCTGCGGGGGGGAGGGGGCGATCGCGAGGCAGCGGGTCGGACAGTGAAACTTCTCCGACTCGCTGGGACCTGCGCGGCCGAGCGCCGCCACCGCCACTCCCCTCCCGCCAAAGGAGGTCCCACCTGCTCCCGCGAGCTGGGGTCGGCGTGTCTGTTTTCTGCAGCCCTGCTCAGCCCGAGCTGGGTTACATAAGACGTGTGTGTGCGCGCGTGTGAGTGTGTGTGTGTGTGGTGTGTGTGTGTGCGCGCGCGCGCAAGGCGCACACCATTCGCACGCCCATAACTCAGGCGCCCCCTCCAGCCCCGAATCCCGACGCCTCCCACCCCCGCCCCGGAATGTGCGGAAGCGGGCGCCGACTAGAGAGCGTGGTGTGTGGGAGATCAAGCGGGGAATCACAGACACTCTCCCTTCCTTCCCCTTGCGCAGCTTCACCTGAGGCCCGCGCGTCTGTGCAGGAGCCGCGGGGGGATGCTCAGCATGCCCGGGGGATGATACAACTAAGGTGGAGGGGCTAGGCCAGAGCGAGGCGGCCTGAGCCCCGGGTCCCCAGAGCCTCGGCTTGTTTTCCGGGCGCAGCAGACAGTTGTGAGCCCTGGGGAGCAGCTGATTGGTGCATTTCCTTTGCCTCAGCCTGCGTTCTCGCTCCCCCCCACCCCACCCCACCCCCTCAACCCCCCTGGTTCCCTTTGTTTCATTGACTTTTGTGAATGAAACCCCAGGGCCGGGCACGCCCGCCAATCCGCAGACTCGCCTAGCCTGGCTTGAGGGCGGAGTTTCCCATCCACGGAGGCCAATCAGAATGTAGGGGCTGTCTCTCGGCTTCATTCACTTCTTGGACTTCCATTCATAAAAAAATAAACTCCTTTCGGCCTCAGTTCATTCATAAAGAATTGAGAAAAAAAGAGGGAAGCTGAGGACCGGGCAGCTTCTCTACCGGTTCCGGCGTGGGCTTTAGGGTCTGAGGAGCCCTGAGCTCCGCCCGCTGGCATTAGCACACGCCTCGGTGCTTCTGTGCGTACGTGGGAGTGTGAACACGTCGGTGTGCCCCTGGGGGGAGGGGGAGGCAAACGAACTTGGGTGCCCAAAGGAACCATAGCAACTAGCATTTATGAAGCGCTCTGCCTCCACGTGCTCATTTCCTTCCCATAACCTGGTGCCGCGGAGCTATTGTTTCCATTTTATTTTACGAGTGAAAATGGAAGAGAGCTAAGAAAGGGATGGTGTCCCTCACCTGAGGTAACTCAGCTAGTCGATACTGCTGGGCATTAGCGTGTCAAACCCGGCACGGTCTTCTGTGCAGCCCGATGAGACCATGAGCTTAAGTGAATTAAGCTATGTGAAAACAATAGACGCACAGTTGGTGCTCAGCAAATGTAAAATGGCATGCATATAGTTTTCTCAAGGGCCTGTGACCTGCTTTATCATTCATTCATGGCTGTGAAAACAGAGGCTCAAGGACAGGTAATTGTCCCTCTCTCTGCCATCTTACTTTGTATCTGAAGGCAACGGTCCCATAAAAGGAAGTACTCCCAAGTGACCAGAGGGAAGGATGGGTTTCAATTTTGCTCCATAAGTTAATCATGGTGTTTGTAATTTCACTCCTTGCTTCATTCAGTAAATATCTGCTCTGTTATACCCTGTACTATGTGGCAAGCAAGCAGCCGTGAGAAAGGCTACCTACCTTGGGTTCTGGGTTGCTCTAGTTGCCACCACAAGGACCCACAGGTCCATGGGGCTGCTTTCAAAATCCATCTATCTAATCAAACACCCCCTCCTTTACAGGTGAGGCGGTGGAGGGTCTGAGAAGGAAATGGTACCTGCAATCTCTTCCAGCCTGTAGGAGTCAGAGCTGGGACAAGAACATTAACTCCCTGGCACCTGAATAAGGCTCCTTCTACAGCATCAACTCCCCCCTCTTATCTGCCAAACTCTTCTTTTTTTTTTTTTTTAAACTTCAGGTGACTTTTTTAAAAGTTTTATTTTTATTTTATGTGCATTGGTGTTTTTGCCATGGGTGTCGGGTCCCCTGGAACTGGAATCACAGACAGCCTTGAGCTGCCATGTGGGTGCTAGGAATTGAACCCGGGTCCTCTGGAAGAACAGCCAGTGCTCCTAACCACTGAGCCATCCCTCTAGCCTGCCAAACTCTTCTTTAAAGCTCAAACCTGCTGCCCCTCTCCTCCAGGAAGCCTTCCTTCCACGAGAGCTTGGGTCAGTCCACATTTCTGTTCATTCTGTTTCCTGTTACAGAAATCCCTATGTATATACAGGGAGTTCTGCAGGGCCCAGAGGAGGAGCTATTTGTAAGACCCCCCTGGAGCATCGCTCATTTTCAAAAGCACAAAATGCCTGTCAGGTAAATAGCTACAATAAAAAGCAAAGTAATGGAGTTTTGCAGGCACCCTGCCCAAGGAAGGAGAGGCAAGCCTGAGCAGATCCCAGCGTGGGGTGGGGTGTGAGTTCCTAGGCCAGAAGTGGGGGAGGAAGGCAGGCAGTTAGTTCTAGGAAGAGAGCTCTGATGTGGTCTCCATGAAGGATCAGTTGGGTCCCCGAGTGAGCACTGGGTGCTCCAGTTGGGGCCTGTCCAGGGCTGCCTGTCTGGTTCTGAGTTCCTTCATTTCTCTGGAGGGCCCCAGCTCTTTCCTCACCCTCCCCAGGCAGAGACCAAAGGAGCCTACCTCCCTGTCTCTTGCTCAGCCTGCAGACCCGGTGAGAGGACACACTGTAACTGCAACTGCCACACTTGCCTCGGCCTCTGACCGAACACTCAGGTTAAGATCAGTGACATTTCCAAAGGGAGCACTGGAGCCTCGGCCTCTGACCGAACACTCAGGTTAAGATCAGTGACATTTCCAAAGGGAGCACTGGAGCCTCTTCTCCAACGGGGGGTGGGGGGTGGGGGGGCTCGAGGTAGTTGAGGAAGAAGAGAGAGAGGCTGGAGGTGTGGACTGGGACTCACAATGTGGGTTAAGAGACACTGAGGGAGCCAGCCCCTTGTGTGCATGTGTCAGTTCCTGCCACCTGCCACCCTCACCTCGTTTTATAAGAGGTGACAATGGAGGCCTTCCAAATGCACACTAACCCCAAGGGCCCTCACTCACAGATTGGGGAGACTCCAAAGAGACTCACTTTATGGAAGCACATGAGGCCATTTGGAGGACCCTGCCAAGCCTGACCTACACCATGGTCACTCAAATGCAGGATGCTCAAAGCTCCACTACTCAAATGCAGGATGCTCACAGCTCCTTTATGAGCCAACATGCTTCCTGACTCCTCCAATATACCTCCATGAGAGGTCGTGCAGGTAAACACCCTCTTCCTCCAGTAGATTGGGAGGCTAGACTCTAACCTGTTTCCTAGGAGTTTAAATAATAAATTGTTGGTGAAATTATTAAGGCCACTCCACATAGTTAAAAGGGAGGTTTATTTAGTGGCGTAACTTAAAATGAAGGGATAGGTAGGTTGCAGGGTCTAGGAAAGGTGTGGCGCAGTCCGGTGGTGTTCTCTGGAGAACTCTGCTCGGTCTACCTCCAGCGTCCAGGGTCCAGGAACCAAGAAGAGAGGGTGCATCTGGATCTCGGGTCTTTAGGGTCCTCTCTTGGCCCCGCCTTGTAGGCGTGACAGTTACCGAAGCCTCAATGGGGGTTGAAACTTCTAGATCAAGGTTGGGATGGCTACCCACTACAATAAATTGTAAATTTGGACTTTAGAGATGTAAATTTTCATACAAAGGCAGCCCATAGTTTGCTGCAGGAGCTGTGCGACCCGTAGTACAGGCATGGGAAGGAAGAAAGCTGTTCACGGTGCCTGAGTGCAGCAGCATGCTGGCTTTGAAGCCATCGAAGGGGTGGACTCTCCCCACATAGCTTTTATTTATTTACTTTTTACCTTTATTTATGTGTATGTGTAGGTATGTGTGGGTGCCTACAGAGGCCAGAGGCATCGGATCTCCTGAAGCTGTAGGTAACAGGCAGTTGTGAGCCATCTGGTGTGGGTGCTGAGAACAGAACTCAGGTCCTCTGGAAGAGCAGCAAGTGCTCTAAACTGATGAGCACTCTCTCCAGCCCATGTTTGATTGTGGCTTTCTCTCTGCCCCCCCCTCCGTCTCTCTCCTCACCCCTCCCTCCCTCCCTCCCTCCCTCCCTCCCTCCCTCCCTCCCTCCTTTCTTTCTTTCTTCCTTTCTTCCTTTCTTCCTTTCCTCCCTTCTCCTTTTTGAGACGGGGTCTCATATAACTCATTCTGATGCAGAACTCCCTATGTAGCTAGGATGGCCTGAAAATGTTGATCCTCCGGCCTCTACCTACATTTTGAAACAGGGTCAGATTCTAGGTCTCCCAGGCTGGCCTTAAATTTGTGATCCTCTGCCTTGTCTTCCTGGAGTGCTGGAATTACAGGTGGGCAACAGTACACCTGCCCACATAGGCTTTGGAGAAAGAATGGCAGAGTTTGGATTTGGTCCTCAGTGTTGTGTTAGCTGGGGACATCCCGTGGGTAACCCGTCCAGACCGGCTGTTTGCAGGGACAGACATGTCTTTAGGCTTGGCTTCTGCAGAACCTTGAAAAGCAGAGTTTCAGGCACTTAAAGGGAGAACTCAGAGGATAATGCAAGGAGACACCTATATGTGGCCCAGGGATGAGACAGATAGGATCCCTTTGGTGTCTCTCAGGCTGGAGCGTTTTCCAGGTAGAATGATCCAGAGAGCAGAATCTGAACACGCGCACACACATACACACACACACACACACACACACACACACACACACACACACGAGTAAATAAAAAAAGGTGAGCAACATTTTAATTTTTCTCCCTTTTCCTTTCTGTGTATATTGTGGTGTGTGTGTGTGTGTGTGTGTGTGTGTGTGCGCGTGTTCAGATATGTGTAGGTATGACACATGTACGGGTGCCTGTGCATATGTATGTCTGCAGCTGTGGAGGTCTCAAGTTGAGGCAGGTGTCTTCCTTGATCACTCTCCATCTCATTTGCTGAAGCAGGGTCTCTGGATGAACTTGGAACTTGCCAACTTGGCTAGTGTAGCCAGCCAGCTTGCCCAGGGGATTCCCTCTCGTTACTTCCTTCACTGGGATTATACACAGGTAGCCATGCCCACCTGGCACGTACATGAGTACTGTGGATCTGAACTCTGGTCCTCATGCTTGGGCAGAATGCTCTTTACTCACTGAGACATTCATAAAACCCCACGTTTTAATGTCTTAAAATTGTTAATTGCATCTATCTATCTATCTATCTATCTATCTATCTATCTATCTATCTATCTATCTATCTATCATCCATCCATCTGGAGGCATATGCTTGCTGCAGAATGTGGAGGACAGAAAACCATTCCCAGGCCCTCTTTCATTCCACCATGTGGATGGGGATCAAACTTGGGGGTCAGGCTGGGCCAGCAAGTGCCTCAACCTGATGCACAATCTCACCGGCCGGTTTTAACATTTTTAAACAAAGCAGACTATGCGGTGCCCTGCTTTTCTTTGAAACACTGTGTCGAGAGGAAAGCCTGATCCGGGAGGCCCGAGACAGTGGTGGCCAGAGGAAAGCAGTTTCTATTTTTAGAAGGTGCTGGTGACTCCA